ATTTAGATTTTATAAAATATTTTTTTTAAAAGTGTTAAAATCATTGTATTTTACTAAATTTAATTTTTTTTATTATTGTTAAAAATATATAGATATTTTATTTAATACAAAAAAAACATATATCTAAAAATTTATATCACATAATAGTTATATTAGTTATTATTATTATTTGAGATAATAAATAAAATCTTCAAAAAAAAATTTAATAAAATACCCGAATCTGATGACAATAATACAAATGTATTGATATTATGGACACTAATAATACGGAAAATATTAAATTATTTAAACTATTTCTATAATACATTGTTTAATATACAGTATATATATATTAATATTATATAAATATAGACATCGATTCAAAACAAAAAAATTAACTAAAAATAATACAATTAATTTAATTTAATAAAAATATAACATATGAAAAAAATCACACAAATAAAACATATCAATGAAAATWCAAAAATGATTTTAAAAATGAATTTTTTTAACCACTTATGATGTGAAAGAAAGAGAGAGATAGAGAGAAATAAGATTCACTTAAAAAAGATATTATTAAATGTTAGAAAAAAACATTTTATTTAATTTTTATTTTCACTGCAAATGATGTATGACTTATAATATGCGGGRAAAAAGTGTGTCAAACGGTATAATCAGGTCTACCGGTGCTCTCTCTCTCTCTCTCTTTCTCTCAGGTATTGGCTTTTTATATATRTATATGTATGAATGATGTGATGATTACCTACTATTTTATCCATTAGWGAGAGAGAGAGAGCACAGGTATCTCAAACACATASACAAACAAAATAAAAATAAATTTATATATATTTTTCTCACTCATTGAAAAAAAAGTGAAATCATTTTTTCAATTTAACAAATCCATAAAAATTATAATATAATATATTTATTATGTTTTTATAAATACAATTGAATTTATATATATATATATATTGTATAATATCATTATATTGTTAAATAATATAATAAAATTCAATACTAGAATTACTAATAATAATATGAATTAATAAATTATTAATAAGAAAATTATATTATTATTATTATTATTATATCAACTTTTTTCCACTTTTATCTCAATATAATTCAATTAAATSWAATTTGATTTAAAAATTRTTATATTTTTYCMCAATAATTGMCGATATTATTTGCAATATATTTAAATAATAATAATAATATTATTATTATTATTATTATTATTATTATTATAAATTATTTATTATATTATTTTAAAAATATTATATTGTGTAAATAAATTATTTTTTTAAAAATATATATATTTAATATTACAATTGTTTTTTCAATGATGATGATTAGTTAGTTATAAAATAGTAATCAACAACAATTTTTACTATATATTAAAAACAAAACTAAATAYTATTTATTGTAAAAAAACTAATTAATAATTATTTTTWTAAAAATATTAAATTATATATTTTTTTCATTTCAATTTGTMGTCCTAAATGAGTTTTTAATTATTATATTATTATTATTATTATAAATATGATTATTGTATAATCAATACATAGTATATAATCAACAAMAAAACAAAATTAAATATCTATTTGTAATCAATTAATAAACAATAGTTTAACTATTGGAAAACTTTTATTATTTATTATTTCAATATATATATATAATAAAAAATAAATTTAAAAAAWWTTTCCAATAGTTAAACTATTGTTTATTTTTTGATTACAAATAGATATTTAATTTTTTTKTTGATTACATACTAKGTATTGRTTATACAATATAATCATATTTATAATAATATTATAATAATAATAATAATTAGATATTTATTTTTGTTATTTWAATAAAAAACATATGTTTATAAATATGAGATAAAAATAATAKTTTTAAAGTTAAAAATTAATTGTRTTTTATTGTTTCTATATATATATAATGTTTTTAATTTATAAATTAATTATAATTAGTATAATTAATAATTACTTAAATATATATAAAAATTTATTTATTTTTAATAAAAATAGATATTKAAAAGCTATTATTAAAATATTTTTTAAAAAATATAGACTTGATAATTTTAAATATYAAAATTTATTTTTTACATTTAAATAAACAATTAGTTAAATATAWAAAAAAATTATTAAACTATAATTATATGCAATATTATTATTATTATATTACTATTTAATTAAATAACTAATAAATAATTACTTCTAAATAATTATGTACTAAATTTAATGTATTATTATTATTATTATTATTACTATTTATTAGATTTATATAAAAATTTAATAATTTTAATAATTTTATCACTAATAATARTTTAACATTAAATAACATTTAAAATAATTAATTAATTGTRAATAATTTATTATAAAATAAAATTATTTGTTTTTTTTAAATTTTTAAATGCTCATATTTATTGAATWAATAAAATAAAAATAATTTTACATTAAATAATAATAATAACTATAATTAAGTTAAWATTTAAGTTATTTAAAAAAWWAATTAATTAGTTAATAACAAATTAATWATAATATAAAGTAAAAAAAAAAACTTAACATTCAGTTAATTTTTAGAAAAAAATAAATTTGGAAAAATAAAAAATAATAATTATTTTTTTTATAAATAGATTCATAACATTGCCGTRTATATAGTGGGTGTGTGTGTGGGTGGGTGGGTGTGGRTCTACTGTTGTTTTTTATTAGTAAAATTATTGACAATTTGTTGGATATAATSGTTAAATTTGCCGACAAACTGGCCAACAGTTTCAAACAGTTGGGGATTTTCTGTACGCAAACGATCGGCCAATTGTTTKTACCGAACGATCAAAATGGCGTCCAATTTGACTGAAAAACCCGATAAAAACMKWTYKAAATTTCGGKGCATTTTTTTTGGGTCAATTGACCGGCAATATCGGCCGATAACGWGACCAACAGTTGGCCTAATTCGGCCGTATATACTGGTTGTCCCGTACGTTGTTGGCGCCACCATTAGTTAGCAGCGGTAGAAAATCGTGTTTAATTTCGCCGTCAATCTGACCAAACAAATGTTTGTTTTTTTTTTCAATTACTGTATAATAGTATTATATTAAATAAATTTTTTWAAAAATATTATTTCAAAACTAAATTATAAGAAAGTAAAAATATCTGTATTTTTTTAAATAGAAAATTAGAAAAAAAATCTAAAATAATTATTTTAAAAATATATTTGTATTAKTTTTAATACTAATACAAAWTTATTTTRTTTTATAATTAAGTAATATATTTATTGTTTTATTTAAATGTATTATCAA